ATCTACTGCACAATGAGTTTCGTGTCAAAAAAAATTAAAAAGAGTTATATTTGTCAGCATGTTATTCCTAAATTAACTTGATTGATTTGTGTATGATTAACCCATTTTTTAGAAAGAAGTTACATATTCCAAAACTGCGTCTTTTGTCTCTTTTACAAAAGTATTGTTGATAGCTACATGTATAGAATAAAGAATGGAAACGGGGAATGTGTCAACGAGACAACAACCCAACCAAAATATACCAGTCAACCCAAGGCTACCCATGGGTCTTCAACACAGCGAGAAATCCCACACCCAGAGGCAGCTCCGAGCAGGCCCCGAAACACAATGTACACTAGATCAAGAAAATGAACGCCATTCTATGCTCCGAAACATATAGATGAACCAAAATAAAAAAAATATACAAGTCCAACAAAGGCTACAGGTTCCTGACTTAGGACAGACGCAAAAATGCGGCGGGGTTAAACAGGTGTTATGAGCGCTCAACCTTCCCCCTTCACCTCTAGCCAATGTAGACATATATAACTTATACGTCAACAATTTTGAGTGTCACTGCCAAAGAATAAATTTTGGGGTCCCTAATAAATATTGCCTCTGCAGCTTCCCCCAAAGAACCCACTCTTAACGAAATCTTTTACATATATGTACTATAGTTTAGTTGCTATCTCCCTTTACGTTTAATATGACGGTGCAAGCTATGAAATTTAATAATAATTAAACTACAAGCCATCCGCTGTATTTCAAAAGGCTATCTGTTTCTTCTTGCGTAGTGATTATGTAAGCAATCCATTCAGTTTTTTACACGAGACTCAGATGAAGTCCAAACAGCAAAAAGAATCAACAATACTGTATACAATTCTATAAGTAATCATCATTCAAAAATGTTAAAGAGGTACACCAAAAAAATAAAATAGTTTTCCCCATTTTCACGCTACTCGACTTAAGTAACTCGCAACTTGACCTTCGTAACTCGCAACTCGACATTCGTAACTCGCAACTCGACATTCGTAACTCGCAACTCGACTTTTTTAACTCGCAACTCGACATTCGTAACTCGCAACTCGACTTTCTTAACTCGCAACTCGACATTCGTAACTCGCAACTCAACTTTCTTAACTCGCAACTCGACATTTGTAACTCGCAACTCGACATTCGTTACTCGCAACTCGACTTTCTTAACTCGCAACTCGACATTCGTAACTCGCAACTAAACATTCGTAACTCGCAACTCGACATTCGTTACTCGCAACTCAATCTTCGTAACTCGCAACTCGACTTTCTTAACTCGCAACTCGACTTTCTTAACTCGCAACTCGACAACAAGTGAATCTCGTAATTCAGTGGTCGTTGGTTTCTGTTTGTTATATCTGATTTTCGTTGATTGCTTTGCCATGATCAGGCCGTTGGTTTTTACTTGAATTGTTTCACATTTTGTCATGTAGGGGCCTTTAAAAACTGACAAAAAATAGGTTTTGTTTTGTTCATTGTTGAAGGTCGTAGGGTGGCCTATAATACTTGCTTTAATCCATGTTATTTGGACTCTGTTGTATTGCTGTCTTATTGGAAATCATACCACACCTCCGTATTTTATATTATCTTGGATTATCTTATTGGCAATCATACCACACCTCCGTATTTTATATTATCTTGGATTATGTTATTGGCAATCATACCAAACCTCCGTATTTTATATTATCTTGGAGTATCTTATTGGTAATCATACCAAACCTCCGTATTTTATATTATCTTGGAGTATCTTATTGGCAATCATACCAAACCTCCGTATTTTATATTATCTTGGAGTATCTTATTGGCAATCATACCAAACCTCCGTATTTTATATTATCTTGGATTATCTTATTGGCAATCATACCAAACCTCCGTATTTTATATTATCTTGGATTATCTTATTGGCAATCATACCAAACCTCCGTATTTTATATTATCTTGGATTATCTTATTGGCAATCATACCACACCTCCGTATTTTATATTATCTTGGAGTATCTTATTGGCAATCATACCAAACCTCCGTTTTTTATACTATCTTGGATTATCTTATTGGCAATCATACCAAACCTCCGTATTTTATATTATCTTGGATTATCTTATTGGCAATCATACCACATCTCCGTATTTTATATTATCTTGGAGTATCTTATTGGCAATCATACCACATCTCCGTATTTTATATTATCTTGGATTATCCTATTGGCAATCATACCAAACCTCCGTATTTTATACTATCTTGGATTATCTTATTGGCAATCATACCAAACCTCCGTATTTTATATTATCTTGGATTATCTTATTGGCAATCATACCACATCTCCGTATTTTATACTATCTTGGATTATCTTATTGGCAATCATACCAAACCTCCGTATTTTATATTATCTTGGATTATCTTATTGGCAATCGTACCACATCTCCTTGATTTTATATTATCTTGGAGTATCTTATTGGCAATCATACCACATCTCCGTATTTTATACTATCTTGGATTATCTTATTGGCAATCATACCACACCTCCGTATTTTATATTATCTTGGATTATCTTATTGGCAATCATACCACACCTCCGTATTTTATATTATCTTGGAGTATCTTATTGGCAATCATACCAAACCTCCGTATTTTATACTATCTTGGATTATCTTATTGGCAATCATACCACACCTCCGTATTTTATATTATCTTGGAGTATCTTATTGGCAATCATACCACACCTCCATATTTTATATTATCTTGGAGTATCTTATTGGCAATCATACCAAACCTCCGTATTTTATATTATCTTGGAGTATCTTATTGGCAATCATACCAAACCTCCGTATTTTATATTATCTTGGATTATCTTGTTGGCAATCATACCAAACCTCCGTATTTTATATTATCTTGGATTATCTTATTGGCAATCATACCACACCTCCGTATTTTATACTATCTTGGATTATCTTATTGGCAATCATACCACACCTCCGTATTTTATATTATCTTGGAGTATCTTATTGGCAATCATACCACACCTCCGTATTTTATATTATCTTGGAGTATCTTATTGGTAATCATACCAAACCTCCGTATTTTATATTATCTTGGAGTATCTTATTGGCAATCATACCAAACCTCCGTATTTTATATTATCTTGGATTATCTTATTGGCAATCATACCACATCTCCGTATTTTATATTATCTTGGAGTATCTTATTGGCAATCATACCAAACCTCCGTATTTTATATTATCTTGGATTATCTTATTGGCAATCATACCAAACCTCCGTATTTTATATTATCTTTGATTATCTTATTGGCAATCATACCACATCTCCGTATTTTATATTATCTTGGAGTATCTTATTGGCAATCATACCAAACCTCCGTATTTTATATTATCTTGGAGTATCTATTTGGAAATCATACCACAGCTCCTTGTTTTTATATATTTTTTCTTGGAATAATTTAAGCAGTCGCATGCACTATTTCATATGCAAAGGAAGATTTATACAAAAAGGTTTATAATCTTATCTTTAATTTAAAAAAGCTTTCAAGGAAAAAAGTTATGTTTAATGAGTTGCTTCATTCATTCTGCTTTATTATTCGTTTTGTTTTGCTTTACGGTTCTGTTACATGGGATTTTTTCTCAGTTTTTCCAATTAGGTCCAGACAAACATTTTTCATGGCTTCAGAAAAATATATGGGCATTGGAAAAATTCATTATTTCACTATAAAATTCCACAAGTCTAGTTTTTTCATAGAATTTTGTACTTCTGTGTTAACAATCAAATTTGCATCCCTTAAAAAAGAAAGAAAAAAACACAGCATTTAAAATTTATAGGTGTTAACCACGATTTCAACAATACATAGTTGAATATAATGTAAATGTCTGAATTATTTCCTCCTTATAAAAATAAAAGAAAAGCGGCATGAATGTATCCAACATGGACCGAATGACGAGAGTGTAAACAAATACTTGTCATTGTGCGGCCTTCAACATTGAACAAAATCCATACCCAATATAATAAGCTATAAAAGGTTTAGGCATTTCAAAATAGAAACAAACAGACTGATTCATGCTTTAAACGATTGACTTAAACAAATATGGCAGACAGCAACCTTAGACAACCACTCAAAAACAGGCACATTAAGAATTTTGCGGGGTTAAACTTGTTGTGAGCGCTCAATCCTCGTCTTACCTGGTACAGGGTGCAACAGCACAACATATGAACAAATTGTAAACATCAGTGGCAAAGTGCCTGACTCATCAGAACAGCACGAAGCACAAAAACAACTGACACAAAGGACCCCAAAAATAAAAATCTAAAAATATTCGCAGTGACTGAAAGCTATTTCTAATCAAACGTCTAGCTATTAATAAACAATGTTTCTTAGACGTAAATAATAATCAGTACACATCCAACAGATTTAGTGTAACTTGAAGACATCATAATGAGTCTTTTCGTCAATTAATTTACGACTGGAAAAAATGCAAGCTTTAATATATGTTTTTAAAAATATGAATATTTAGTTACTAGTAATTTATGTTATCCTGCATAGAATGACCCCAAGAGTGGATTGGAGTAAAGAAATATGTTGCCTGCACTTTTCCCGTCCAGTAGAAAAACTCATGCTCGTTTGGATCTGCGGGATAAGCGTATTCTAAAGACAAACATAAATTATTAAATAAAAATAAGAAGATGATGTAGAATTGCCAATGAGACAACTATCCACCAAAGTTAAAGTAAAGTGGATGTAAGCAATTATAGGCAACCGTACGGCCTTCAACAACGAGAAAAAACCATACCGTATAGTCGGCTATAAAAGGCCTCGACATGAAAAATATGAAACAATTCAATTGAGAAAACTAACGGCCTAATTTATAACAAAACAATTAACGACAAACAAATATGACAGACACAAACCAACGACAGCCACTGAACTACAGGCTCCTGACTTGGGACAGGCACATAAAGAATGTGCACTGAACAGAAAAAATAAAATGTTTGTCATATTTGAATATTATAAAATATATAATGGTTGTAACAAAGGTACTTGGCCTTGTATTCATCATAAGAACTATTTCATATATTTGAACTTATTTCTGATACACTTTCCTCTCTTTGATTCTTGGTAAGATTAGATATACCCAAATAAGCGTCTCCCTTTTGTTAACCTACTTCCAATAGAACGCACAGTGATAGAACAATGGCAACTTTGCTCACAATTTGTCTTCCATTGACCTTATTTGTTTGGCCTGTTGTTTTATAAATGTTTATAGACATATTGTGTTGGAATGACGTCCTTGGATTTGAAAATTTGGCGTTTGATTTTTATATCAATTCTTAAAATACTGCATCTTAAATATTTATTGTGCTTATCTATATAATGCATAGTACATTTTCGTCTTATTTACAAATACGCAGACACTATTATATATATATAATCATAAAAATCTGTCACGAGAAAGATCTCTGTTAAATTTTGGTGTTTCAAAATCAGCTAAACCTGGAATTTCATATCTTTCACCGAGTTTTGGTAATCCAAACTTTTTCAAAATACTATCTGCTTCAACTCTAAAGTCGTGAGGAATAGTTTTCCGTGATTCTGGTAAAATCGAACTTTGCCCGCTATTTGGGTGTTTAGACGTGTCCAATTTAAAGCCTTCCATAGCAGTGTCGACAAAATCCTGTCTAATTTCTAAATGATCAAATAACACTGAACACGTGCGACGCGGATTGCGCATCATATCTTCAAATAGTAGTGGCAAGAGTGGGACACCAGCTTCAACAAAATCTAAGCACGTAGCTATATTTGCAGCCCATGATATTGTGAAAGCGGAAGCTGTTGTCATATTCTTTGGGTTTACAATAGGGGGTGTTCTATCAAGTACAGAGCAGTATTTGTTATACAAAAGCTTGCGAAAGCATGGGAATACAGTAGACAACACTTCACTGTCTAATATGTATCTAGATATTATATCGAATTCTTCATTACCAAATATATTCAAAGACGATGCAATCGTTTTTAAACTGTTTCGATACACATATAGTTGGTAGATATGCGGAAAATTCTTATAAACGTCTCCCATTTGGATTGTACAGCAAGGTCTTGTCTTAACACAAATCATTCTTGCTCTTTCGTCCGGTTTGCACAAAATACGAATTGCTCCTGGCAGTAGCTGTTCATACTCTCCCTTTTCAAAATTATTATTTTTCTCTAGGAAAGCAAGTGTTGTTAAAACATCAGGAGAATTCATTACTAACATACCTGGAAGCTTTGCAAACATTTGCACTAGCATTGTAGAACCACAATGTCCAGTATTAGAGATCCAAATAATAGGAACACGCGGATTTCCGAGATCATGGGCAATTTTATGAAAAGCTGGCAAGGGCATTGTTATCAAACTATGAGCACGTTGAAACTGCTGTATATACATAGGTGTTCTAGGTTGCTTAGTTCCAGTAATATCAACTCCTTCGGGAACCTCTACAAATATAACTTCATCTTTCGTCATACAATATAACGATACTGTCGGCTTGAGTATGTAGTTTGGGTGTTTAAACGCTTTGTGTGTTGTTATAAAATTTGATGGATCTGCCATTGACGTACTAATGAACTTCCGGCGCCAAAATATACTTTGAACATGGACGCTTTGTTTAAATTGCAGGCCATGTTTTGCATCCTTTCGAGTTTTCTCTACCCCAGTCACAGCCCATGTAAACTTCTGAAATGTTAGAACGATAGTTTGTGTAAGTTTGTAGAAGAAATAGGTTAACAGTATAATGATGTATTGTCTGGCTTTATTCAATCCCTTGCTGATATTTTCTAGGTGTTTATTGTCCGATTTAGACTTCGTGTCCATTGCTGTGTGATTCTTTTCTCGGAAGGAAGACATCTGAAATAAAAAAATTATAAATCATACTTCATGGATAAAATTGTAAACAAACCATTATTTGTGAGAGGAAAGTAAGTTGTTGGTAATTTTTTTCCCAGAGTGAAACATCTCTTGAACTATAGATTGAATGTAGATAGCGATGTTTTGTATAGCTGTTGTAGATGTTGCTCCTATTTTGTTAATGTAATTTTTATCAAAAAGCACTTACTTATTGCGTATAAAATTCTAACTGTATTTACCAATGGTCAATATATTCGAAATATATACATAAAAAAAAACAGACAACAAACAAGAACTTACACAAAAAGACTTCAACTCTAATTAGGTTTATGCATTTTTTGAACTACAGAACGTAACCATTGAGGACTTGAATTAATGTGACAAAAATTTATTTATGCACTGAATTCTCTTTGTAAGATTTATCCGTGATGTAGGAGGCAGAGAATAATTTAATTTAGAAAATAGTCATCAGCTAATATATTCTATCATTTAGTTTTTGGCATCTCATCTTCGTGTCCCATGCTTCTATCGCTGGGTTAAGCCTTACGTGAAAATGAAGCTTTATATTTCTTATTTATTAAAATATTTCGCATGACTGGTATATGTGACAGGTTTATGTTCTCGGTGACTTTTATTATACGTAGATGGAGTTATAAATTATCAATTATACACTTGTTTTTATTCTTGTCGTTTCTAAATAAAGTCAATGCATTTGTAAACATAATAAAGAAGATAAACAAATTTTCTAATTACAGGACATTACGAAAAAATGTCCTGATATCTATATTGACAATATCAGTTTTTGTTCTTTGACATTCCTTTCATCTACTACGTTTTCTTAAATCAAATAAATATTGATACACACATGATTTAAATTTTAATGTGTTTCAATGATTCATTCTGGTAGAGTGATCATTTCTAAAAACATACTTTACATGAAGGTATCGCAAATCTGAATAAAATCATCACCATTATATATCGAAATGTATGTTACCTTTAATTAGTTATTCTAGAAAATGTTAAAAATGTAATAATTAAAGCTCATTCATTGTAAATGCACATTTGAATTTCAAAACATCTCAAAATGATATTAATATCTTTTTTTTTGTTGATACAGCTTATTGTTATATCTTATTTAATAATGACAGCAATTAAGATAAAGAGGTGCCACACATCATCTAGATGTGGACCAATGATAGCGCATCATAATAGGGGAAAACTACATGAGCAGGTCAGCGATACAGGCTTCCACATAGATATAATAACCATTCAAATATCCTATGTTGCTTTCTTTTCAAGTTATAGGAACAACACTTCAATGATTTTTGCTTCACTGTATATAATAATAAGATAGATATAAGAAGATGTGGTGTGAGTGCCAATAAGACAACTCTCCATCCAAGTCACAATTTGTAAAAGTAAACCATTATAGGTCAAAGTACGGCCTTCAACACGGAGCCTTGGCTTACACCGAACAGCAAGCTATGAAGGGCCCCAAAAAATGACTAGTGTAAAACCATTCAAACAGGAAAACCAACGGTCTAATCTTTATAAAAAACGAGAAACGAGAAACACTTATGAACCACATCAACAAACGACAACCACTGAACATCAGGTTCCTGACTTATGACAGGTGCAAACAAATTCAGCGGGTTTAAACGTTTTAATAGGCGCCAACCTTCACCCTACCTGAAACAAAAGTGTAACATCACAACAAAGAAACGGACACACTATAAAATATCAACTGAAATGGCTTAACTCAATCAAAAGACATATTAACAAAAACAAGTGAACATACACTGAACGAATAAATTTGATCTATGACAGAATGTAAATACAAAATTAATAAAACAAGGGGGTAAGATGTAAAACTATACCAGAAAGACAACCATAACCTTGGACAAAATGGCGCCAAATAAAATAACGTACACAGGTAAATAAAAATAATTTTGTTGTAAGGTATACATGGAGTACGGAAATAATTTTAGTGTTCCTAGTACGAGAACAAAAGTGAAAATTTGTCGTCATACTAAACACTTATCAAAGGTGGTATATATTAAAAATAGTGAGAGTAGATATAACACTGAATAAGAAGACATTAAAAAACAAAAATACATTACAAATTGTATCAACAGGTCAAATTAACACGAAAGTACGATTTGAGAGTACTCGCAGTTACTGAAAGCTAGTTAAAAGCCAAAAAAATCATGCATCAGAGACTAGTTAACTTAACTTGAAGAGTCTGATGATGCAGACCTTTTATTAGAGTACATGTACCGTAAAATGTGTGGAAATTTCGAATAATTGTTCCATTTTTTTTCTATAACATGCTTGCATTTTACAAATAGTTTTTGTTTATTGGAAAGTGGATATCTTTTGAAATCTTTTCATATTTGTGTTCCACATTGTCGACTTGCTCCTTTGTTCATTTCTGATCTTCGTATTCGCCATACATATGTTGTCATTTCAAAAATAATTCAAACCTGGTAACTTCAAATATCTTCCCATTAGCTTGAAATTAAGATCATACAGTAACGTGTATCTGTTTACATCGTTGTTCTTCCGTCTGTTGAAAGATAATTGTCCCATTTGTAATCATACCATATCTGTTTATGTTTATATAGACACCAATGGCTGCTTTACAACGTTTTGTGAAATTTCGTAAATGTAACGACATAAGACTTTCAGCCAACACAGATTATTTTCATATCAATACTCTATTCAGAGCATAGGTTTCCATCACACCGATTTCTGGTGATATACCATGCAAGCCTTTCTATTGGAACTTTAGATTCTCAATTAAAACACAGAATACCCGTGTATGTTCTTCTAAATTACATAAGTGTTCACAGACTCACCCTCTCTGGACGTCTGATCGACATATTGGAAAGTTTTTACCACATAAAAATCCAACCGATTACAATACTAGAATACAAATTTCTCCTGAACAGACAATATTTAGAAAATATAATTGCATAACTAAAATGACTTTTCCAGAAGGCCTAATGATTGCAGATTCATATGTTCTCAAGACGACGTGTAACAGATATGCGTAATTATGCATATCAATTGTTATTATAATAAGATAACTAAGAAAACCAATAACTTTTTGCAAGAGTAATCAAATTTTTTATGAGTTTTCACAGAAATGAAACAAAATATTAATGAATCAAATATTTTAGCGATTGATAGAATGTCTGCAGTTTAATAAATTAATAAATCCATAAGGTAGTTTCTGCAATTTGGGTGGGCTAAGGTAAGGCATGCAAGATTGGACTACCACTGGAAAATAGGGTATGTTACATGTTCATGTGAATACTTTTACAGTAAGTTCTATCTTTTTGTAAAGATTCTGGTCATACATATACATACTTATTTATTCCTTGACCATATTACCGACTTATGTATATATATTCATATTTCTGCATTTTCTGTACTAGGTTGTACATGTCTATGAAATATATGATCTTTAAATTTACTTGCAAGTTAAGATTATTCCAATAGCAGTTTCCTATCAAATATCTGACATCTTCCAAGCTATTTATGGATATGTTTTTATTAACAAAAAATCCTTAACACGTGGAAAGTTGTCAAATAACAAGAAACCAGAGTGTGATATTAAATTAGAATCTATTTATTTTTCTAAATTCCCAGATCGTGAATTTAACCTGAGAATCTACAAAAGTTTCTTAATTTTTCTAGAATTTTGTAAAATCCATAGAAATACATGCATAACTCCTGAAAGAGGGATTTTACAAATTTACTGTAAAATATGTACTGATTACTTGAAGTAAACAAATAACACTAAATTTACCCCAAAAAAAACTTTCAAAATCGTTTCTACTCATATTTTCTTAATCGTCAAAAATAAAATTGTCAAGTTTTGCTTACAAATCCTAATTTGAATTATAATACAGGGTTGTTTTGATAATCTACAGATTCAAATTCATTAAACAATCAGTGATTTCGACACATATACAGACGCCTATTCAAAAATGACACATAGTTACTTAATTCGCCAAGAAAATAATATATTTTACTTTTATTCTGATTTAAACCGTATATAGCTTGATGGAGTGTGACATTTACAGTCAGTTGGACCTTTTTGTAAATTAAAACGTGTCCTGCATTCATAATTTTGATAAATGCGGAAGTGTCATATCTAGATTTCGCTTTTTATTTAACAAACTTTTTACATTAAAGTTAAAACATAACATCAATCAAATTGAATTATCAATTATGCGATAGAGTTGTTTCTTCAGGAAACGTATAGATAATATTTTGTTTATCCCTAAGGCTTACAGAATCGCGAAAAAAATTACTAAACTTATTTATTAGGCATATATATACTAAAAAATAATGCCCACATATTATCAGGCGACCGCTCATCCAACAAAGAATAAAAATAAAATAAAGATGTGTAAATTAAAAAGGGACATTCTTTTATATATATTTTTTAATTTACTAGAACAATGAGTACATTACACCTAAATTTAAAGTATATGTACACGCAAACCCTTACAAAATAGGAGTTTAAATCTTGAATATATAAAAAGTTTTTAAATCCTGTCAATGTATCATAAAAGAGGGACGAAAGATACCAGAGGGACAGTCAAACTCATATCATGTGTCGATGTCTACAGATCTGTCTTGTTTCTGTATGTCGCTATGAGATTACCAGGCAATACTTTATAAATAACAATATTTGTTACATTTTTCCCCCGTTGTAGACTAATTTGTAGATATCACTCTCTATCATTCGCTGTGCTTCTATGAGCAGATAAAGCTAACGGAGAGTGTTGCTCGAACCTATCATGGGGACCGTCTTCAACCTGCAGTGAGGTGTGGGATTTGTCATGTCGATGACCCCAGCAATAAGAAGTGTTCCCTTTTACTGCGTGTCAAGGGCGTGTATGGATTGTGTATTATTTATTAATACACCATGTCCCTTCAACGCAGGTGTTCAAGTCATTTAACTTGACACACTAAGTAAATATAACTTTAACGTCTTCAGATACACACAACTTTAGATGACCTAAAGTAACATCTGTCACTACAGCTAATGGATGATGGGTCAACGACAACATTTTCGACACGTAATTTGTCAGCGTACATACATGGCTTCTAAATGTAGCGTGTACCGCGTTTACAAGTCCTGCTTTTTGTGCAAAATGTATGTATGATCATTTATGTGTCGGAAATGAGTTGAGACGAGGCAGCAACCCGACACAAAAAAGAACAAAAGGCATATATAGGTCTTAAAACGGTCATCCATTTTATACAAATGTCTATACAATTTGTCAAGCTCTTAAAATCGGAGGAGACTTCGAAAGATAACAGACTACTAATCTGGCCGACCTCCTAAGAACAATTTCAAAAGTTTGCAATTGTTGATTTTCTTAAGTCATAGAATTTTCTATTTGATCTTGAGGGGTTTCAATTTTTTTCTGGATTTGTTGTTTGTCAAAAAATTTGTATAAAAACTCCCATGATAGTGAAAGCATCACAAAATAACTAAATATATGGACCTTTCACCAAATAGAATACATGCATATTCTTTAAATATTGCATTCAATTACCTTTGTAACTAGTTATCAAGAACTCCCTTCTGAAAAAGAGGAAACAATATATTCTTATTATTGAATTTATACCCAATAAAACTAAAATAAAAAAAAAATGTACATATATATAAATGCGTCACTTTTTATAGGAATACTACTTCGAAAAAGTAGACCACGGGCAAATGTTTTACATTCCACAAATCTTTTTACTGATTAAGATATGTACCATCAGTTCACACAGTTAATACAAGTTAAAGGGTAAAAGTATACATTTTTATTGCAAATTCAATTTTTTTATAATTTTTTTTTATAGATATATCAAAAGAGTAATCTGTATAAGTTTGACCATTGTTTTCGAAAGTTTTAATTGGTTGTTATATTACATGAGGTATCTTCCGACTTACAAGCGCTCCATGGTCAGTGAAAGTTATGAATTTGCTAATCTAAAATATCGGCTCAATACAAATAAAAGGAACATTCAAGACGGTAAGGGTTTATTCCAAGGGACGTTAGTATTAAGATAATTTATATTCATTACATAAAACGGACCTTGGACTCTTTGTCTTTACAAAGACAAGTGACTATCTCCATTTCAAATAAGGTTCCGTGCCAAGGGCGTCTCCAGGTTAGTTTTGTTGTTTACTGATCACTTCACAATGGTCTTGCTGTGTTTGCTAAACTATAAATTTATAGGTTTAATTTGATAAAAGTAAATAGCATTATCAGGAAGATTTAAACACGTGATAAAAAATTAAATTGGTTGTGGTTGGAATGCTAAATCCGATCTAAACTTTAATTTAAAAGTAAATTTTAATGTTCTACCTGAAATTGTACACATAATCGAAATCAATATTAAATACGACAATAAAATATGGGTGTATGTTTTATCTTGTCGTATAAAAACGACAAAATATCACTAATACACTATAATATAGGTTTGGTGCGTTCGAAGCTCTTTTTATGGACTTACCTGTAATATGAACGGTAAAAAAAAAATATAATAAAATAAAAAATAAAGCAAATTACTTGAAGAGCTTCATAACCAAAAGAGGCACCATAGAATATAGTAAAAACAGTCTACGGTCAACTTTCAAATTGTCTGAGGGGGTTGGATCCTTAGTATCTAAGTCATTTCTAAAATCGACAGCTTCATAACCAAAAGAGGCACCACAGAATAAAGCCAAAACAGTCTACGGTCAACTTTGTCTGAGGGGGTTGGAACCTTAGTATCTAAGTCATTTCTAAAATCGACAGCTTCATAACCAAAAGAGGCACCACAGAATATAGCCAAAACAGTCTACGGTCAACTTTGTCTGAGGGGGTTGGAATCTTAGTATCTAAGTCATTTCTAAAATCGACAGCTTCATAACCAAAAGAGGCACCACAGAATATAGCCAAAACAGTCTACGGTCAACTTTGTCTGAGGGGGTTGGAATCTTAGTATCTTCTAAAATCGACAGCTCCATAACCAAAAGAGGCACCACAGAATATAGCCAAAACAGTCTACGGTCAACTTTGTCTGAGGGGGTTGGAATCTTAGTATCTAAGTCATTTCTAAAATCGACAGCTTCATAACCAAAAGAGGCACCACAGAATATAGCCAAAACAGTCTACGGTCAACTTTGTCTGAGGGGGTTGGAACCTTAGTATCTAAGTCATTTCTAAAATCGACAGCTTCATAACCAAAAGAGGCACCACAGAATATAGCCAAAACAGTCTACGGTCAACTTTGTCTGAGGGGATTGGAACCTTAGTATCTAAGTCATTTCTAAAATCGACAGCTTCATAACCAAAAGAGGCACCACAGAATATAGCCAAAACAGTCTACGGTCAACTTTGTCTGAGGGGGTTGGAACCTTAGTATCTAAGTCATTTCTAAAATCGACAGCTTCATAACCAAAAGAGGCACCAAAGAATATAGCCAAAGCAGTCTACGGTCAACTTTGTCTGAGGGGGTTGGAATCTTAGTATCTAAGTCATTTCTTAAATCGACGAAAAAACTAAAGAAAATTAGAAATTGTCCAGAAATAGATACAATTCAAAAGATATCATTCTATATTCAGAACCGACTTGGTGGTTTCATGATACAATGTAGTATATTCGCCTCGAATGTAGAAATTCATAATTTCGATCTTCGACCAGGTAAAACCGAAGACTTCTAAATTGGTGTCTGCTGTTTCTCCACAATGAAAGCTACATTTATTAGTTGATATAAATAAGAAGATGTGATATGAGTGCCAATCAGACAATTGAAGCTACATTTCTTAATTTTTTGCAGGAACATTTTGACCTTGTTTTCAAATATTGTGCTTTTTTCACTTTTTCATTTCCTTGTTCAAGTTAGTGGTCATCCTGTTGGTAACAGCAGGTTTTTTTGTTGCATGTTTTAGTTTTACGACATCTGGTCTATGCTAGGGGATGTCTTAAACTAGCAGTGAGTCGAGAGTCTTTGTTTTTTGCTCCGTGTTGAAGGCCTCACTGTGATTTTAGATGAAGAACAGCAACAAAAGCGCTGTTCCTTTGCTTTTTGTGTGTGTTTTGCTGTGCATGTACTGGTTTTATGTGATGGATGGATACCCCATATCCTTTGTTTTTTTCTATTGAATAGGCAAAAGGGAAAGTTTAAGCGCACGTAAAACTGGTTTAACCACATTTTGTGTCTGTGCCAAATAAGGCTATCCGCACCATGTTGTTCGTTGTTCTTTGTCTCTTTTTTGTATGTCTGTTTTTGTCAGAGAAGTTGGATATAAGTGCTTGATGTGGTCATTTTAACTGTACGGTATTTTGCGATTCATGTTATCCCTTTTTGGGCATAATAATTAGCGTATTATGAGTGCCCTTCAAAATTTCTTTCAGGACATTATTGCACTAAATAAACCAAACATAAGTTATCGTAACAAATAAATTACATAAATTACGTTTGTTTATGTCCTGAAGACAATCCAATCCGTTGCCATCCCCGAATGCAGTATGACAAATTAGAAATGGTTGTAAGTTTACAAAGTCATGTTCATTAATTAAGAAAATCTAAAGTACACAGATACAAGTTTACAAAACCTCACACTACATATTCCATATGAGAATATCAAAATTGAACTAAAGAGGCAAATTCCAGTGAATTTGTTTCACCATGGCTCACGGGATCAACATTTGAAAGTTGATGAAACCTATTAAACTTTATATATTGAAGAGTCAATATAAACTTTCTACAATTTTACACATATCCATATACATGTAATTAATTTGCATCTACTCGATCTCATTAGTCCAGCCCTTTTCAACTGATGTTCGTCTTATGTTGTAGAAAAACACCACTATATTATCTAGGGAGAGGGTTGAACACTCACAAACATGTTTTATAATAACCCCGCCGCATTCTTAATTTGACTGTGCCAAGCAATGATCTGTATTATTGGGCAAGATGTTTTCTGCGGTATTCCTAAGAAATGTTTCTCTGGGCACATGCATCTGCCATTTATGTTGGCTTTGTATAGAAATCTGTACGCAAAGTACTTAAGATGATAATGAATGACCCTTACTTGTCAGTGTACAGTAGATCAAGGAAGCCGAATAACTAACACAAAAAAATATAAAATAAGACCAGATTAAAATTAAAAAAACAACACAAATAATATCTAAAAACAACTTAAACAATGTTCAGCGAGCGATGGTATGTGTATCAAGTGAACTTTTCCTGAAATCTCTGTGAACTGCAAATCCCTATTAAAATAATCAAATATATATGCATGTTTTTGTTATCCCGGAACTTACCTTTGAAATTTGTCGTCAGCCTTTTAATGTCAATCCTCTTTCCAGACAGTTAAAGCCATGAATTGAAAAATGTCCTTAATAAAATAGAATGCACCCAAATCAATCTTATGAACGTCCCATTTAAAGGGCGGGAATTTGTGACTCTAAGATTAGATGAAACACAAATGTTGTCAACTTGTTATGCATAGGTTACATTTGATACAACTCGTCGAATACACAAATAAATGTGAAATTAAGACTGACATGCACGATTTAGCACATATTTTCCTATTCATCATCCATACAGGAAAGCTATATTAAATAGTAATTCAACTCGGTTGACATAATTTATGACCCAGTCAACATAAAGAGATATACAAATTTTGTGTTATTTACATACGAAAGCTCCTAAAATTTACACTGAATGAATTTGCGTTTCCGACATCTAGATTGGATGACGACAATTTTATAATGTGATGTAAGCAATTTGTCAAATCAAGTATGAAAAAGGTGGAACAAAATCACAAGCTGATCTAACATTTCATCGTGATAAGTCAGTCGTATAGGGCACTGACGTACTAGGCTTCAACAACCAGATGTCGAAATAAAAGGGACAGATTGGAGGAGAAAAACAATTTTTTGGGGAGGGTTGGGGGCCCGGTTTACTTTTTTTCTCTTTTATAAAATATTTAAAAGTTCGTGAAAATAATAAAAAGATATAACATTGTCATCTTAGCTTTCTCAGATATGTCAAATTTGTATATAAGTATATAAGTTCTTAAGATCAAATGATTTTAACAAGAAACTTGTAGCCCTGATAACAACTTTTCTTATATGTTTGATAAGGAGATCGATTAGACAATCTGTCATTTTACAACAATAAAAGAGCGGTCTCGTGTAAATTGTGCATAATTTTAATGACTGTGAGTGACCACAAAAACAATAACTTCTTTTCCTAGATTTCAGTTTTACACTGGAAACTCCACACAAAAATTTACGACAAAAGGGACGATTTTTCATTCTCTATTTCGTATATTCTTTTTTGGACAGTGATGTTCCTTTGGCCCTATCTTACGGTGGTTATTTATCCCAACTCGTTCGCTATGCTCCTGTTTGTAGTGATGTTACACATTTCAATGAACGCAATCTATGTATCTATTGCATCATCGGATTTGGACGTCTTTTAAACTGAGTTTTACTGTGCGTATTGCTTTGGTTTTTTTTTATTCCACATTGACTATAGAGATTTAAGGGGAGGGTTGAGATCTCACAATGCATGTTTAACCCCGCCGCATTTATGCGCCTGTCTCAAGTCAGGAACATCTGACCTTTGTTAGTCTTGTGTTTTTTTTTTTTTAATTTAATTTTGGTTCATTTATATGTGTTTCGGAGTTAAGTGCCGCGTCCATTTCACTGAACTAGTATACCTTATTGTTTAGGGGCCAGCTGAAGCCCGACTCCGGGTGCGAGATTTTCTAGCTGCGTTAAAGACCCATTGGTGGACCTGGGTTGTTTTCTGTTCTTTTGTCGGGTTGTTGTCACTTTGACACATTCCCAGTTTCAATTCTCTATTCTATCACTTGTAAATTATTAAGTCTCTGGTGGACAGTTGTCTCATTTGCAATCATACCACATCTCCTTCTTTTATACATAATACATCAAAAGGATAACTGGAACTGCAAAGAATACTGGACGGTGCAACAGACCACACCAAACACCAACGCCCGACTCATCAAAGCGTTTGACTTACATGCATTACAAAGAATAGTAAACAACTTATATTCTAGATAGCAAAAAATGTGCGGATATGCTCCCTTTCCAAGTGTTACCACATGTCGTTATAGTAAAACACAAAATTAAAACCTATACAGTCGAACTAAAAACAGGATGACCATATTCTTGAACAAGGAAATAAAAGACTGTACATAGTTATGAAATTAGATTCAAAAAGTGCCCACTATTGGAGAAAGCTAGCTCAGGAAGTTGTTGGTTGAATATTACCGCTTAAGACAGAAAATTAACAACACTCCTAACAGAAATTGTGAAGCCTCGTTATCAAATTTTATTGAAACCGGAGGCAAATCACTACGAAGATTAGGAGCATTGAAAATCAGATATTCTAAAAGTTATGCCAAATACGGCTTAAGCTGTGTATGCCTATAGGAGTAAAACAACCTTAGTGTTTCGAATAATATTTACATTTTGTAAAGAGTAAATCGTAAGACCTGCTGGTATATCTTGGATTTTCAAAGTGTCTAAAATTTCGTCCTTGTTAAGGAATGTAGGTGTGTAGGTAGGATTTTCTATGGTGTATAATTGATTCAAAACTTGATTACGATGCAAAGTGGTATACTCTCAAAACACAAGGCATCATATTAAATTCCACACTCCGAATTGACCCTTATTAGCATTGGTTACACGGGAGGAAGGGTGAAGTTAAGGTGACTTTTTTCTATACCTAAATCGCTCAGATCATTATGTTGGGCACTGAAAGAAAAATATCATAAAACTGCGACGCATCCAGGGAAATGCTTAGTTATTTTTGTATATAATAGTATCTCAGAACTTTTGACGGATTACTAGATAAGAAATTGCATTCATTTAATTAAAAATCTACTTGATTTATGATAGAGATTAAAAAGGGACATACAGAATAGTTTCTTGAACAATATACAAACTTAGCTTTAGCCAATTGATTGAAATTTAAATCATTCGCCCTAGTCTAGCTATAGATCTTCATTTAACAAATGAATATGTACAATATTTCTTTCTTTCAAATGAAAAAATGATTTCTAGCTTTATGACACGATATCTGCTGACGTGATAGGATTTAAAATCTGAATTTTAAAACACTTATCTATTGTTCTCATGCCATCGTGTCCGTTACAGTGTCAGTTTATGCTGTTTGGTTTTAAATTGGTGCATTGATCCTTGCAAATGAATGATTTACCAATAATCCTACTTTCGACGTCGACATTTGGATAAATCAGACGCTATTTTTAATGTAAAAGTTATCTGATTTAATCCAAAACATTTGTTGTTAAACACTTTAAATTTTGAATACTGTTTCAAATATTTTTTATCCTAGATTTTGTTTTCGTTTAGTTTTGACTCGATATTTTCAACTGTTGAAGTGTCAGGATACAATTTTGATTCTAAGCAGACGACATGGTCAGGCAAAGTCGGCGTTCGGAGCGAAATAATTTATTTCTAAATTTTTAATTTAAATATGCATATTTGATATTTTAAATTAGTTTATGGTGAGCACAAGTCGATTACTAGATTATGGAGTGTGTGTCCGAGCGAGAACTTCTCTAGTTCATTACTTTAGGAATATTTATCAAAAAGTAGTATTTCAATATTCAGCCCCATTCTACTATTTAGTCAGACGTCAGTCGCTACCCTAATATACCCTTTCTTTTTTCGGGTAATTAATACGGATAGCGTTGACATCTTTAGCCGAACAGATTTATCATTTTTACATAATTTAATTCATTGTATGCTGGTTCATATTCTGGACGCCAGTCTTTGCTCCTTTCTAATATAATTCACAAACAAAAAACAAATATGAAGCTTAGAAATGGAAAAATATTAAATACTAAACTCGTTCAAAGGGTATCTACACGTCTCAATCTTCAAAATCGCTTATCTAAAAATACTACCATCGCTAACATTTTTAACAATAAAAATCGTGGTTACCCTTCTATCGATAAGTGTCATGCCAAAAAATGACTTACATGTCCCCGTCTTTCCACCAACAATACGGTAAGGTCCACGTTTAATGGTAGCACATTTTCTTTAAATTTTGAAACTGATATAACTTGAAAAACAAACAGTATAATTTATTTACTCACATGAAACAAACCGGGATGCGGTATTCAGTACGTAGGTGAAACTGGACGATATTTATCTAAACGCACTCAAGAACATCTGTATCGTTTTAAAAGACCCAATAAATTCAAAAGTATCATTTATCAACACCTTAAGAAGCACAATCATCCTATTAAATATTTAGCAGTTCAACCTTTAGAAGTAGTAAATAAGCAGCCTGGTGAATCTCATTCAAAGTTTGTACGATCGCGGAAAATAATTGAAATAAATTGGATTAAAAAATTACAGACAGTCTACCCTCTCGGTCTTAATGATAATATCATGGGAATTGGTAATATATCAAGAACCGATTCTGTTAACATTTTGGATATAGTTTCTAAAACTGTTCGTAAAAACCGTTCTCATGGTCGTAGAAAAAATCGCAATCAAAGAAAATTTCGGACCAATCATACCAATATTTCGGACCTAATTTCTATTTCAAAAAACAACGACAGACATTATCTGCTAACAAAACTCTGTTCATTACCGGTTAATAAGTAAAATAAAATTTTAGAGGATTGCAACACAATTTCATATAGCAGTCCTAAGTATGAAATCGTTCAAATTATGTATTAGATACAATACAAAGGTAACAAAGAAACAGGCCGGTAACAACCGTTGCCGGATAGTTTTTCTGCACGAGTAGTCAGGTCAAGGTCCGAGGCGATAGCCGAGGACCTTGACCTGACTACAAGTGCAGAAAAACTATATGGCAGGTTGTTTCCGGCCTGTTTCTTTGTTATCTTTGTTTTGTATCTGACTTGTACGACGTTTCAAGAAAGAAGCAGTACATTTTGCATTTAGAAGAGGTATCAAAACTAAACATTTTAGAAACTTAAACGGCCATATACCAGTTAATGTAAGTTACAGTTTAAACACATTTTTTTTTCACTTCCCTTCAGCCGAGAGTTTTTTTCTCAAAATATTCAAGAATCTAATAATTTTATAAAAAAGAACCATTTCAAGTAAAAGATGAATGTTGTACACATTTGAGACTTTTTAAAATGCAACTTCGCAAGTAAGTAATGTATAAATAAGATTTCAGAGGTAAACAAGCTAACATTTGATTTTTATTGGGAAAAAAACGTTAAAAGGGGGGGGGGGGGGGTTAAAATAAATTTAGAATAAACAGGCTTGATCCTTTTTTTATTGAAAAAATGCAGGATGTCCCATTCCATTCCCCCATCACCCCTTTAAAAATCGTAAAAATCGTACGTTTGCTGCCAAATATATGAAATCAATACATACGAATTCAACTTATATATGAATTCAATAACAATATAAATGTATCAAAAGAATGAATTTCCTATTTCATTAGTGAATGAAATGTTATAAAAAAATGGATAGTGTCTTGTTATTAGATATATGTAGGCATATATTTTGGATTTTTTTTTTAAATTTCATGCTTATAGGTTTTTATATGTCTCTGATAGTGTTGATCAGGATTAAACACGTGTTACTATATGATCCAATCGCAGCTCACCGTCCAAAATTTATGACATAAGTTGAATGATTTTTTTTTTCAAGATTTGCTGCCTATTTGAACTATATTACACGGACACTTTTTATCTATAGGATCA